TATAACGTACAAAATTTAGGACTTGTCGTATTCAGAACGAATGATTTGGTCCTATGCAAGAAATATGTCATCAACATCTTGTGGCTGAAAAAATTATGTAGTTGAATGTTGTGGAAAACAGAATGCAAAGTTCTTGTATGACATAAGATCTTGTTCAAACGCTTACTATTTTACTTGTGTAAGATCTGAGTCTGAAAATTTGGAGATTTAATCAATAGATTTGGTCTTGAAGGTGGTACATGTTTTAAACTTTTCTGCGGACCTAAATTTTGGCCTTGTTGAGTCATCTATGCATTTTGTTAGGGGCAATATTGGACAAAAATCTCCCTTTTTATTCCAAGACTTAATACTTAATTTACTAATTAGTGGTAAACCTGCCTGCATACTTTTCTAGAAAGTCAAATCTTTTCACCTGTGTTGCAATGCAGTTTACATCAACTAGAGCTCTCAAGTCCATTTGCTGGCAAAGAGTAAGATTTCATGGGCATCATCCATCAAGGGTGGAAAAGGGAAGAGGATATAGGGGCATGTTCCCCTAGAAAATTGTAAAAAAATGAAAGGCTAAAATGCGCATTTCTTTAATCTAAGAGAGAATTTTTGCTGTTAAAAAGTGTGCAAAATGAGTGCATAGGGAACAAGGAGTAAATTATATTTGGAAGGATAATTTTATAGGTTCTTAATGAAAGCAGCAGTTTTCTATCTCAAAATCAACAGAATAAATGCAAAACCTTATAGGAGTGAGAAATAATGGCTTTAGCATGAGAGTGTAAGAATGAATTTGTTTGTGTGAGTCTCACACTCAATGCATGAGACTTGAGAGCTCTAAGTCAACTCAACACATTTAGCATACTACAGCATTTTTTGCTTTTGTTTTGTTTATGTATCCAGTGGGTATGGTGATTTACAAGGGATTCTTCAATTCATGCCAGTTATATATTAATGGTACTGTAAAGTGGGTAGGGAGGTTCAATGTAAAAGGAAATGATAGGATGAGGGCTGGAAGAATAAAATAACATTTCAATATTCCAAAAGGAAAAAAAATTTCCAAACTTGAATATGTCTCTTCTACCTTAAGAATGATATTCACCAACCAAGTGTCAAGCACAAAAGCAAAATCAGAAAGTGGAATTAAACACAATAAAAATAGAGGAACTGTATTTTCAAGAGACTGAAAAACAAAGAGACAATTGTAATGCTGTAATCAATGCTGTCTCCACTGCCTTGGGTGTAAACTTCACCAATAACTATTTTGTTTTGATCAGGCAAACCCCTCAAGGAGGCTATAACACTGTTTAAACAACAGCTCAACAGAATTGCCCATCACTCCTGTGGAAAAAAACCTCAAGTCTATGAAAGATTTTGTTTTCATGGCATTATTTTAACACTACAAGCTGTATCAATTTCTTCTGACACAAGAAAGAGCTGATGACATCACCAAGTGTGAGCTGATTACTGAGTCAGTGTTGGTTCCACAAGCTATGAGGGATGGTGTACTTAAGAGTGTTTGGAATGAAGAACAGAGAATAAAACACATTGAAGAGATGGAACAAAAATGCATCCAGGTATGTGACTGCGTGTGCAACCATTGACTAGGTAGCAAGTAAACTTAAGAAGTAATGTCCATTCTAAGAAGTTGTACTGCCTAACTCACCTCAGAACCTTTCTTACTTGAATTAGTCAAATTTAATGTGTATCATGCTCTTTGTTGAGAATGACACATGTTACTGGAATAAAAGTGCAAACTTGTATGTACAAAATCAAGCAAGGTTGTTTATGGTGGACTGGGACTGACAGGTAAATACTGTCTGTCCTAACTTTAAAGCCATCAAGAAGTACTGGTCATTAAAGAAGATGCATTCCCTCTAATGTTTTCTCAAATGTTCCTCTTTATTGAAGTAATAAGTGCTACAAAAGAAAACATAGTTAAGCACATCTGTTTCATTATGAAATGGGTGATCATTACACATTTGAAACTGTATTGTGACACTATATTAAACAGTCACCCTGTAACAAAGGGGTCAGTTGTCAGATTTTCTCCCCTTAATTACTGTACTGTAATTTTTACCTCTTTAAGTGGTCATGGTCATCCTTGACTGAGTCCCAGCTTCCTGTTTTTATTGTCTTCTTCTTCCTGCATGTGTTGAACAGTCACTAAAGCAGAATCTCTCCAATAAAACTAGGAATAGTACTTTGAGTTTAAATGTGCTCAACATGTTGCAAATTATCTAATTCTTCTTAGAACTGTTGGGACAAATATTATGCACAAACATTACACAAGTCAATTGGCCCATAGATATGACCTAGAGGTCCAACTGATAGAAAATAGTAGACAGTAATTCTGCTTTAGTGTTCTGTTTTTATGCTATGTCACCATTTTGTTGATTCTGTTTATTGGTATTAACAAAGAGTCAATGCATCTTTTAGCAAGCTTTTGAGTAAACTTTAAGTTAAGCGATCAATTGTGGCATAAAATAGCATTTTTTTACAGCATTTGACTGCTATTCTGTGGAAACTGTTTCAGTAGTGTCCTTGCAATTCCCTATGGGTGACTGCTTAATACAGGTTTGACTGTATGCTTTTTCTTCATCAATCACCACTATGCAACTCTGATACTATTCTCTTTACTATTTAGGAAAGAAATGAAGTCCAACAAGCTGTCCAGCAACTGAAGTAGCAGTTTTTGGAGTTTGACTCATCACCAGAAAACTTATCAGCAGAAAATGTAGCCACAATTGTGGCTATTATGTTACTGCTAAAGAGCCTGTTGTGACAAGCACCACTATCAGTTATAAAATCAAAGAAATGCACGATTCTTTTAAATTCAAGTGCAAACGGGCCACTGTTAGTCAGGACAATGAGAAGGGAGGAATAAAATCTGCAGCTTCTAGTCGTTGTTCCAAAGGAAATTCTGGAAAGTAGTGATCTCATTGCACAAGTATACTTTTCAGTTGTAAGTGTACTTTGGTATAATTTTTAACTTTCAGACAAGTTTCTTTAGGGATAATTTCCCATTTTTATATATTCATTTTTTTTTGACATTATGCTCTAATTATGTGTAGCTTTATGGACTCAGAGTTAACTTTTCTTCTTTTCAAACTTATGATTAATAATACTTTAAATTTCAGATGAACCTCTATTAAAACATCCACTGAATTTTTCTTTCCTTTTGCATGACATTATATTGTTGGGTTGTTGATTCTTAGAAGAAAATGTGTGTATGCGAAGGCTCAGAAAATTTGTCCACAACAAAATGAACATTTTTGGCATCACCTGGCATTTCTAAACAAATGGAGATATTTCTCCAAACAGGTTGAAATAAGGTTTTCTGTGGAACTGAGTGGAAACTGGAAGAAGCCCTGCCCTGCATAGGTGTCTCTGTTCATGAGATTTTCACTCTCAAGATCTCATTAGTAATTCTCCTTACTGTTTGCCATATAGTTCTTGTGATGTTAGTTTTGAGAATTTGGGATTGAATCAATTAATAAGCTAATTAATATTTTTCTTTATTCTCATCACTTGTCTGCTTGATATTGTATTGATATTGTAAGGAGAAATTCTGTCTTGGTCACATATGGGAGTATAAGGGATAAGTCCCGCAAAAATCATAAAAACTGGGAATGAAAATGTTGAAAAAAAAAAATGAGAAGAAGTCTCAAGTGTTATGTTTTTTCTTAGCTGCAACAAGTGAAAATCTTTTTGAGGTCTCCTTGTTTCCTCTTCCCATTCTTTTTACATGTGGGATATATTTCATTTCTCTGATTTCTTTCCATTATTTAATTTTTGTGTGTGCTGAGGTCCAGTGATTTCTTACATCTTGCTTTAAAAAAGGGTAATGGGTGTCCTTAAAATAGCCAGGAACCAATTCAAGGAAATATTTTACATGGAATTCATTTCACTTGTATTCCACACTTCCTTAGATATTTTGATTTTGGTTCAAGCATGGTGTTGAATTTTTTCCTTCAATGTTAAAAGAAGGAGGAGAAAAATCATTTAATTTGAGATAGAGTAGGAGTTTTTTTAAGGGCTGTTTATACAATCCCCTTGAGACAATCTCTCTGGTAGATTGATAGATTTTGACTGATATTGAAAAGGTGAATCCCCTCCCCCATTCGCTTCCAAGTTGTGTCTAACAATTGGGGCTGAATATATCACAACACAAAGTTGAAATCGGTCCACAAAATTTATTCTTCAATGACAAATTTGGGAGATCTGCCTTTATTAACAATGACTAGTAAGTTAAAATCTTTACTGTTCAAGTCTGATACTTCATCTCCAGATTTTGAACTGGTGCTCTGACGAGTAACAGCCCATAAATAGGTACAAAAAATTACGTTAATATTTACAAAAAAAGTGTAGAAACCTCCCTGAAAAAATTTATTTGAATGTGATAAAAATCTTACACCAAAGGCCTTCTTTCTTTGAAAGCACAATGACTTGATTTACAATTTGGTCACAATTCTTTTTGCGATATTTTGCTAGAAGTGTGAAACTACTTGAACCGGTTCGCTTCAATCGGGAAAAAAAAAGAAAACACGAGAAATAAAAAAAAATTGGTAAGCAATCTGTGGTGTTTACATTCATCTGATGCCTTTAAAATTTCCCAAAACACTTCCAGCGAACAAAACTTACAAGAGCATGGAGAGAATTTAGGATCGAAACTGACCAATCACAAAATGACAAAGTTTCCTGAGAGGTCCGAGGCTTATTTATTTTCTCTGCAGGAAGCTTTGTGTTTTTTACTTCAATGTTATTGGTTCGTTTATAAAAAAAGTTTGACATCCTTTGTTCTCAATAAACATGTTCATTGGTTCATTTTTCTTCATTTCGATCCGGTTCAAATAATCTCACAGCTCTGAGCACTTCACAGATTTGCTTTGCTTTTATTTCATGTTTTGAATCATTGGGTTGATACTGTCACTGAGCTGGTTACCTCACTGCTATTTTGAATAGTAAGTGGTTCAAATAATTTCTTTTCAGTTTTTAATTAGAATTGCTGAGGCCTAAAGAATTAGCTCACATTTAGACTGACTATTGCGTAGTAAATTACGTGCCTTTTGCTTACCTGCTTCTGTGATGTTTGTATTGAGTAAGAGTTTTAACGTGTGTAGCTGACTGTTGTTGTTGTTGTTGATGGCTTCAGCCAAGTGCTGTGCTCCAATGTCTGAGATGTTATTGTCTGAGAGGTGTAACGTGTGTAGCTGACAGTTGTTGCTGTTGATGGCGTCAGCCAAGTGTTGTGCTCCAATGTCTGAGATGTTATTTAGTGAGAGGTTTAACGTGTGTAGCTGACAGTTGTTGCTGTTGATGGCTTCAGCCAAGTGCTGTGCTCCAATGTATGAGATGTTATTTGCTCTGAGGTCTAACGTGTGTAGCTGACAGTTGTTGTTGTTGATGGCTTCAGCCAAGTGCTGTGCTCCAATGTCTGAGATGTTATTGTATGTGAGGTGTAACGTGTGTAGCTGACAGTTGTTGCTGTTGATGGCGTAAGCCAAGTGCTGTGCTCCAATGTGTGAGATGTTATTTGCTCTGAGGTCTAACGTGTGTAGCTGACAGTTGTTGTTGTTGATGGCTTCAGCCAAGTGCTGTGCTCCAATGTGTGAGATGTTATTTCTTGTGAGGTTTAACGTGTGTAACTTACAGTTGTTGTTGTTGATGGCGTCAGCCAAGTGCTGTGCTCCAATGTGTGAGATGTTATTGTCTGAGAGGTTTAACGTGTGTAGCTGACAGTTGTTGTTGTTGATGGCGTAAGCCAAGTGCCGTGCTCCAATGTATGAGATGTTATTGTCTGAGAGGTTTAACGTGTGTAGCTGACAGTTGTTGTTGTTGATGGCTTCAGCTAAATACTTTGCTGCTTCATCTGTCAATTGATTTCCTCTGAGGTTTAACCAGCTCAGTTGAGATTCCCTACATTTTAACAATTTGCAAATTTCAAAACAACCTAATGGACCAATGTTATTGTCACTCAAATCTAAATGTGAAATTTGTTGAACATTAATTACATTTACTAACGAAGAGCAATCAACAGCTGTGAGGTGACAACTTGTAAAATTTACAAAATTAAAGTTCATTTGTTGAAGTTTTCTCTGTGCTTCTGACTTCATTCTGCTATTTTCGTTTAAACATTTAATTAATGTTACTGCTAATTCTCGTTCGTCTTCAGTCGGCCAGCAGGTTACTTTTCTTTTCTTTTCATTCTTTGTCCACTGTTCGTTGTAGTCTGCGCTTTTGTCTTCTTCAGTTTTCACAGGAAGAAGGTCCGTGATAATTTCGCTTGGTAGGTCAGTTTTATTTTCCATTAATCCTGCTAGAAACTGAAAAACCAGCTGCCATCTGCCGTCCTTGATGTTCTCGGAAACAAAGTTTTTTAATTCTGTTTCACTCATATTTGCCAGGTGTCTCGCGGCGAAAAACTCTTGCATTGTCAGATGAATGAAACAGAATTGTGGTTCAAGATTAAGCGTGTCAGTTTTACGGTCGGGTAAGCGATGAAAAAGAGCGCTGTTTCCCATTCCTTGTATCTCGTTTCCTCCAAGGATCAGTTTTCCTTCTTTGATTCCGTTAAAGGCTACTTTTCCTAGTATCTTGAAATTCTCCAGTTCATCTTCGGGCAAATCATGTTCGAGAGGAAACAAAATATTGCACAATTCTATTGTATGTTTAAAATAAAACACTTTCACTGCAATATTGTATATCAATGTTAATTTGGAAGGGAGGGTAACGTCAGCGGAACTTTCGGACTCTTGTTTTCGCATGATTTCTAACAGACTTGTGCAGATGATAAAGCTGTTGACCGGGACATAACATAGCGAGAGCAAATTCAAGTTGCTACTGATGTGTCGCCATAGTGTTTCGCCCACTGCCTTTTCATCTCCGGCCAATTTGTAGACATATTCTTCAACTTGTTCCGATGAGAATCCTAGAACCTCGTAAATTTTGTGAAACGGAAGGTGTTTGATGCTCGACAAAGCCGTAGGTCTCGTGGTGGTCACAATTGAGGCATCCTTTAGGAGTTTCCCGGTCACAAGCCACTGATAAAGGATTTGGAGCGGCTTTTTCTCTTCATTGCTTCTGGGATAAAGAGGCGCCCCAACCACGTTTTCGTCATGTTTAAATTCGTCGAATCCGTCAAAAAGTATGAGTACACCTTTAGGGTTCTCGAGTAGGTGATTCCAGACCTCGTCATCTAGCTGATCTGTTGGGAAATACTCGGACTGAATTAACAGTTCCTTGAGGCTAAGGTCGTTTGCCGATTTGAATCTTCTGAATTTCACGAGGAAAGCGGCATCAAAATGGATTTTGCCTCCAGCTGTCGCTTGGAAAACTTTATTTAATGCCCAGTCTCTGACAAGTTTGGTACAACATAATGTCTTGCCGATTCCGGCTCGACCGACGATTAACACTTTCTTATTTTCAACATTTAGGAGGCCTTCCAAGCTTTTCGGTTGTGATTTTTCCCCGCGCGACCTTGGATAAATTTTGAGCTGTTCCTCTCTGTTTTCAGTAAAGTGATACGTAGCTCTGTTCGGAATCACAACAAGATTTGTGTAAATTTGATCCAAAGTCAAATGTTTAACTGTTGTGTTTTCGCCTGGATTACCTAAAAAAGGTGATTGGAGTTCTAAAAGTCCTTGGGTCTCTCGAATAATTATTTCCTTTTTGCGTCTAATGAAATCTTGAAACTTTCGTTCTTGGAGTTGTTCAGTGTGTCTTTCAGTGAGTGGAATAGTTTCGTTCCTTCCATCTAGGTGTTGGCTGAGACTTAGATAGGTTCTTTCTTGGAGTTGTTCAGTGTGTCTTTCAGTGAGTGGAATAGTTTCGTTCCTTCCATCTAGGTGTTGGCTGAGACTTAGATGGGTTCTTTCTTGGAGTTGTTCAGTGTGTCTTTCAATGAGTGGAATAGTTTCGTTCCTTCCATCTAGGTGTTGGCTGAGACTTAGATGGGTTCTTTCTTGGAGTTGTTCAGTGTGTCTTTCAGTGAGTGGAATAGTTTCGTTCCTTCCATCTAGGTGTTGGCTGAGACTTAGATGGGTTCTTTCTTGGAGTTGTTCAGTGTGTCTTTCAATGAGTGGAATAGTTTCGTTCCTTCCATCTAGGTGTTGGCTGAGACTTAGATGGGTTCTTTCTTGGAGTTGTTCAGTGTGTCTTTCAGTGAGTGGAATAGTTTCGTTCCTTCCATCTAGGTGTTGGCTGAGACTTAGATGGGTTCTTTCTTGGAGTTGTTCAGTGTGTCTTTCAGTGAGTGGAATAGTTTCGTTCCTTCCATCTAGGTGTGAGTTGAGACTTAGATGGGTTCTTTCTTGGAGTTGTTCAGTTTCTCTTTCAGTGCGTGGAATAGTTTCGTTTCTTCCATCTAGGTGTTGGACTTAAGTGGGTTTTTAGAAACATTGAGTCTTGCATGAAACTCCTTTCAATACATGCCCGTGAAAAAAGGTAAACGGTTTCAACCAGAATGGTAGCGACAAGAATTCCATTCGCAACAAGAACAGCGTCCATCCAGGAGGTTCTCTTTGCCGCTCGTTGATTGTGACAATCGTATAAAGTAGAGTGTTGGGCGTTGTCGGTTGAATTCCTTGGCTGAGTGGTTCCATCGGTTAAATTACAGTGAAACTTGGAGGAAAACTTTAAAGGATAAACCAACTGAGTTTGTAGGATGATGAAAAGAACTCCTAAAATAAGTCTTGTGAATAGTTGACAGCAGTAAGCGATAAAAAGCTTGTATCCCGTTGATAATGCGTTCTCTTGGTCGCGCGACTGTCCCTCTGAATCACCATCACGAATGCTTAGCGACAGTCGACTGACTGTAGGTCTTACTATTAGGGAGTAAATAACACATACAGATATAATAAGGACGAAATTCGTGATTACGAAGCCATAAACAGGAAAACCGAATTTGTTGTATTGCTTCGCGTATTTCTCGTAACATTCTCCCTGGACGGCTTTGATGTTTTCACTTTTCGCTCCGGCACAGTTGAAATCAAACCTGGGTTCGTTGTATTCCATGTCGGCGAATATACCAAGGAAGATGACACCAATCAGGATCCAAATAACCGCTACCACATAGGGAATTTTGCTGAAAGTTTTTCGCTCCAGAAAATCTAATAGCTTTTCCATTGACATTTTTGGTGATTCTGATATTTTCGTTCGAGTACCGATTTCTCCGGTTCAATTGAACTGCTATTTCGATCATAGTATATTTTATAAGATACAGAGCTTTTGTTTGATTGGCTCTTTGGAAACTTTCAACTGTCAAAAATCAGACTAGTGAATTAGGCCGGATACAGATAAGTATTGTTTCAAAAGATACGCTTGACCTCTTCTTCCACCCGTCCCTCTGTGCTCATTTTCATACACCTTCGAGTCTTTCCTATGAAAATTCAGCGCGGAAGTCCAGTTGACTTGATTTAACTTCTGCTGTCAAACCCAGAGTACTTGTGTCGATTATTTTGCAGCTTTAAGCCTGCTAATTTCTAAGCTACCAAGTATCACCGTTTTCTGCGGTATTCACTTGAAAAGAGATTTGTATTTCTTACTTAGACGCTAAGCTTAGCCCCTCACTTTTTCGCAAAAATGAAAATAAATTGAACAAAAACAATTTAACAAAAATAGCCTCCCATTCAAAAACTTACTGCGCGATCCCAGAAGAAACACTTAGTCTGTAGACTTAATAAGGTTGGATAACATAATGATAAGGCAAGAATGGTTCCGCGTCAATCTAAACTTCGAATTGTCCAATTCCTGTTTAGGAATGAGTCCGCAAAACTGGTTCATTTTAACTATCACTTGTTTAGATTGGTAACAATAAGAACTCAAACGATATAAAATTATTTCCGCCTTATCATCCAGTTGTAGCTCTTCGCGTTGCCAAAAAATTTCGAAGCATGTGAAGAGCACGCGGCGCCAAATCTACTTTGCTGGACCAGAGGCGGTCTAAGCTCCGGCTGTGAGATGATTATCTTGCGCAATAACGGTCAAGGCTTTTCTTATGTATGTTGAAAACCTCGAAGTGGACAACTCGCTAAAATGCGTTCTTTTCATCAAAGTAAGCAGTCAGATAACAAGCAACACGTTGTGGGAGTAAGGTGAGGTTTTTTTTTTTTTAGAATTTGACGTATTTTTTTATTCCTTAAAGCGGTCGTAAATATTTTCATGCAAACTCTTATAATTCCGCCATGATCATCTCACAGCTAGAGCTTGGGCAGCCTGTGGCTGGACTTGATCAGTTGTTCATGAGGTTAAGAGTACACTATAATTAACTGATAGATTTGGCGCCAGATTGATGCTTGGCGGCAGGATAAAAGAGCTTCAGGACAAATATCGTGACGGTAGCGGAGAGTGCTAAAGACATCATGAAACTTCAGTTCCCCTCTAGTGACTTTAGACGTACAAAACAAACGACATTCGATTTAATAAATAGTGTGATAAACGAAAAGTATATGAATGAAGGGCACTTCGCTCTCTCTGGGTGATACTAAACTGTAGATTAGCAGACAGTAGAACCTGCGACCATTCTGCGCCATGCTGCGAAACCATTAGTTTTTTGTAAAAAAAAATGTTAATTAATTAAAATAGAAACTAAAAATACCTTAACACTTCAAGAAATTTCGTTTTCGGGTTTAAAGAAGATAACGTTAATATATAAATATATATATATATATATATATATATATATATATATATATTTTAACAATTTTGACGTCCAATTACAGAAAACCCAAGCTCACACGGTGAGCCTCTGTGATTATGCAAATATGTTTCCGTTGCGCAATGGGTGAAAGATACGGATTTGCATGGGAATAAACAGCCGCGCTCTCGACTTCAGAAAGATCTGGACGTGTTTTGAATAATACTTTGACAATAAAAATTTGACAAATTTACCCCGTTCAAGTGGTTGTTCTTTTGCATCGAGTGAATTTTTTGGGCTGAGCTCGGTTAATTTAGCCCGGTTTTAGTTCATCTGCCTAACCCTCTACATAAGTCTGTGAGTAACGCCAACCGAGTGAATCCACTGGAAGCAAAACGCTGTTTAATCGCTCCGAACACCCCGATCACCCCAAAATTCAGCTTACTGTGACTTGCGAAACGAAACGAAACAAAATGAAAATTTGAAATTTGCGAAATGGATATATGCTAATGATTTGCAAAATAGAAATCTGTAATTTGCGAAAATAATTGTTCTGAGACTCAAGAAAATAAAAGAGCTTGGGTCCGTTACATTTTCCTAGCAAACATGATATTTTATCCAGAAACATGCTGCGACACTTTCCATGTCCATTTCCGGTCAGGTAAGTGTCGTGTCACGTATTCGAATTATTCATAGACGACGAACATTGATTACACCATATAGACAGTTCAGTTACAGTGTCAACTAACATTTTAATTACTTTTGCGCTCTATGGCGGACTTATTCTCATTTGGTTATTCACGAACATAGTGGAGATTTCACAAAGTTCATCACGCTGATTTTGTAAATCGTTAGCATATTTCCATTTCGCAAATTAAAGATTTCTAGAAATCTGCAATTTGAGAAATGGAATATGCTAATGATTTGCAGAAAACGATTTTGCAAACCAGTTACAACTAGTGACACTCCTGATGAGGATGAGAAGGATCCAGTGACTGGTTTTGCTGTTATTCCTTACATTCAGGGTGTTACGGAACCCATCAAGAGAATTTTGAATAGCCACAACGTCTAAGTTGCTCAACAACCTTTTCAGACTTTAGGGCATATTTTCGCTAAACCTAAGGATCCTGTCACGAAAGAACAACGAACCGACGCTATTTATTCTGTCCCGTGCAATGACTGTGATCACGAGTATATCGGACAAACAAAACGTCAGTTTGATACACGTTTGAAAGAGCATCAAAAAGCACAGGCGGCCCAAGCTCCAGCTGTGAGATGATCATCTTGCGCAATAACAGTCATGGCGGAATTATAAGAGTTTGTATGGGAATATTTTTTAAGGGCTTTTCTTATGTACGTTGAAAACCTCGAAATGAACAACTCGCTCAAATGGGCTCTTTTCATCAAAGTAAGCGGTCAGATAACAAGCAATAAGCTGTGGAAGTAAGGTGAGGTATTTTTTTTTGAGAATTTAACGTATTTTTTTATTCCTTAGAGCGGTCGTAAATATTCCCATACAAACTCTTATAATTCCGCCATGACTGTTATTGCGCAAGATGATCATCTCACAGCTGGAGCTTGGGCTGCCTGTGCAAAAAGTGGTCTTTTTCAGGAAAAAAGAAAATCCAGCTTTGTCAGGGCACACATGCCAAACTAACCATAAAATTAGGAGGGCTAAGTCTAAAGTTATTAGCGTGCACTAATCGACGTTACTACCAGCGCCTATGTTCGGAAGCCTTGCATATCAACTCTACCCAAACACGCTCCTTAAAATCGTAATAGCAGATTACTACCTGACGCCTATTTACAACTCATCAGGAAAAAGGGCGGCTAATTAGTGAGCTTAGAAAAGGGCCCTCCTGTTGCTGCGATTAAATCACCCCTGATGAAGGCGCTAAACAGGAATGGCAAGACGCGTCTTCTCGGTTACTTTCATTAAATCTTTATACCAGAGTAGCATCAAACCATACCATACCTAACCCAAAAAATTTCACGAGACTTTCGAAAGGAACAACAAAGCACTTAATCATAATGCTTCCAATTAACTGATGCAATCTTTGACGGCGTTAGTCAAAACAAAAACTTTCGTGTGGGTCTAAAGCAAGGTCGGAAGACAAATTAAGCACGTCCACTGTCACTCATCACAACAGCTCAAACCTAAATAACTTCGGAATTCGAAATCATACAAAAGCGGTGGTTCAAAACAAAAACAAACGACGATGTTGCATCAAGGTTGGAAATGGGCCTTTGGGTACATTCTAATTATAAACGAAAGATTAAATCATCCTGAACTGACTAACTAAGTGACTCACTAATCATAAACTAACTAAATACTTCATAACAGAAGGATCCAGGAACAACAAGTCCGTTAAACAGTCTCATTGATCCTCAGTGAAATAAAATTCGAAGCTTTGATCACATTCTGCTGTCTCTCAAAAAAAAAACAATAATAAGCGCCCTGTTTCGAATTAGCAACCTCCCTTTCGGTTAGTATATGTAATCACATGAGGCCAAGTACTATTAAGGATTAATTGCACGAGAGTTTTCAAAATTTTCCAAAATTGCTCGAGTCGCGAAACTCATGGGATTACTTGTTTATCAATAAAGGGCAAAATTTATACGAAGGAGAATCAAAATTTCAAGATAACGAACGGTTGCTATGCAACGGATTAGCCAATCATTGACAGGTAATCATGCCCTCTCTTGATTACTAAAAATGCCCTCGATTAAGAAAAAATGCCCTCTCTCTCAACCAATCAGCGCTCAGTAATTTTGCCCTTTATTGATAACAAAAGTAAACGCGCGCCTCATGCGCTAAATCGAATCATCACGGATCATCACGGTAAATAAATTTATGGATGAATGCTATTTCCAAGAGCTTACAAAGTGGCATGATAAGTAAGGGAAACAACATAACCAATGTCAGATGTAAGAAAACACATAGATTTACAAATTAGCAATAATGACATCTTGACCAGGTGTTACTTGCTATCCAAGGTTTTATTTTGGATGTTTTAGTACTTTTTATTTGCAGATTGATATTTCTGTAATTACATGATTAATGATGTATTTTCAGCCGATGCTACAAGCGTAGAACTTAAGTAAAAAAAGTATTGGTGCACGAATAAATGCCCATCTTCAAGAGTTTACAAAAGGGCAGAATCATCACCTTCTATCCACAGAGGAAAACATGTCTCCAATTCAGTTATGGTTATGGGTTCTCCACGGATTTTCATTCTCTGCAGAGCAAGCACAACTATTGGTATGTTGAAAGTACATGTACTGTTTCTTATCTATGATGTATGTTGACACAAGACTAATATCAAATAATTCCCAATTGGTCCGGTTCTGTTTGTTCTAAAATAGCTCTTTTCTTCTAGCATTTCTAGTGAGTTTGAAATATTTAATTTACTACATGACTTCTTATGCTGTAAGAAAGCCCTATCTCAACAAATTCACTTTTTTTCATTTGGATAACCTTTGCTGGAAC